ACAAGCCATGTTTTATTGCTCCCCTGCCTTTTTCCCCTCCCTCCTTTTTTTTTTTTTTTTTAATTAAGACAAGTATAGAAGGAACTTTAACATATCAGCTAGCCTGCCTCACAGCCCCCAAGGCAGCATCAGTACTAACTGTTTGTACAGCTGGGTCTGAAAAACTTAACAAGGTTATGTATAAAGTGACAGTTCACACACTCTGGGACTCTTATGAAGCCTACTGCTTTGCTATGTCACACACTACCTCATTCATTTTTTCCCTCCAGTTAAATAAACTCTGATCTCTTCACAATTAAATCAGGTCTAGTTTTGCAACCCTTATTAGCTCTCTGTGTCTTTTATTCCTATTATTCCTTATATGTTAATAAGCTAGCAACACATTAGTAACCCAACTTGGCAATTGGGCTAAAGGGCTCAGCAAATTCCTGTAGGCAGGTACCAAATTATTAGAAGAGATTGATGCCTCTCAGAATTTAGCCACACATTTTCAGAGAATATTATCACTACAAAACCCAATCTTTTAATAGCTGTTAAACTGCCAAACCAAGATTTTTAAAGACAAAAATAATTCAATAAACTTACTATTCAGAGCAGGTGATTTCAAGGTATACTGACAGCACTGGCAAAAGATTAAAATCTAAAATGCTTTTTCAGCAACTTGGTTATATCTGAACACTCTGTGTGTTGAAAAAAATACATCAGAATATAGAAGAGCCAAGTACAATAGCTCTTAAGGAGACAAGGCAATTTTAAAACCAATAAAAGCATGAAAATAAAAAATGAAATTGTTTTGCTGCCATTACACTTTCTGTCATGGCATGATGACTTCCCCATATAATTAGTATCTCTATTAATAAAACAAAACCAAAATTTCTACACAAACATCCAGAAAGGTGCCCCAAACCCTTGCCTTAATGTATTTTTCAAATTATTTTATTCAGAACAAACAGAACTAAATGACACTAATGAAAAGAAGAAAAAACAGTCAGATGGAGAGCAAACAGTACCAGACCTCACAGATGACACATTTTCATATGAGACAAGAATGAACATTGGAAGCAGATGGAACATTTGAAGCCCAACAGCAGTGCAAAGTCACTGTACAGAGGAGCTTTAGGAAAAACAAAATTCCAGCATTTCATAAAGTTTTTTTTTCTCATTTGTTAGTTTAACTACCTTTAGTCTAAACTCATTTTACAGACGTGCATTTGGGATCCCAGCAATACAGTACAGTGCTTCCTTAGAAAGATCACACACCCTCATTTATTCCCTGTCTCCCTTTTTCACCTGCTGTACTTCTCTCCCAGTCAAGTTTATTGTTGGCTTTCTGGAGTTCACAAGAAGCATTAAAGATAGCACTACCTAGCATATAATAGGTGACTGTGTATTCATGCTGATCATTTAGTCCTATTTATATAAGTAACTAAAAGGGAGCACATATTAACACAAAAGAATATCCAGCATCCCCCAAACAGAAGTCAATGGCTGCAGAAATGCATGACTGCAAATGGGCGTGTGTACTAGCAAGAGCAGGGGATAGTTAAAGTTAATTTTGGCAAAGCAAATTAATTTATTTTCAGGTTTTCCTTAGTTTTGTGAACATAACTATAATTAGTATAGCAAACACCTACTAAAAGTATCATCAACAGATGATTTCTCTTTAAGTTCATATAGAAATTTACATTAAAAATCATAAATAATAAATAATCCAATTTATACCATATTTCCCCTAGAAATTACAGTATCAATTGTGTTTACTAAGGTGCTGTAGATGAATGTATATAAAAATCGTTCTACTGTTTACCTCTGTATGAATGACATTATTGAAAAGTTAACAAACAGATGTCACGACTTGATTAGAAACATGATTTCAATTAGAGCTCATATAGACAAAAGCTATAGCTTTTTCCCTTTGCACAATGTTTCAAATCTAAATATTTGCATCTTCCTTTTGTTTAAATGCTCTTTAGGATTATGCTCAAATCTCTGAATATTTGAATACTGCATTCCTCAATAGAAGCCTATTTCTGATAGAGAACTTCAAGCGCCTCTACAATGTAAACATGCTTATACACATGTGCAACAGTTTGTGTATGTGCACAAGCGTAACACCATCAATGATGAGAAGAGATTAATAATAATTATCCATTTCTACCTCACTGATTTTATTATTTCAGAACTCAGTGCTTTGAGATGATAATGTTTTATAGCTTTGCACAATGATGAACAAAATGGTGGTAGTATGCTCTCCACTAAGCCCTGCCAACTAAGCAAGTAACTTCTTTCCTCAAACCAAACAATCCCCTTCAATATTTACAGACAGTAGCTCAAGACAGTCAGTCAGGAAAATCCCTCATTTCAAAAGGCTGTAATCAATAGATAAGAATACCAGCTGAAGTACAGTTGATAGTGTTGCCATAAAGAATGAGAAGGAGCTAAAGAGACAGACACCCCTCAGAAAACTTCCCCTCTCCCTACAACACGTGAAGTAAAGTTTTGCATTGCTCTTGACATGAGCCTATGCTGTCTTCCAGCTTCAAAAGACTGTGTACACTGTTAGTGAGAAATTGAGCTTTGAGTAATAAATCTTAAAGTTTATTACTGTGTCTTCACAGGAAAAGAGAAAAATGCTTATGTAGCAATGACTATAAATAGAATGTGAAGGTTGGATTTGCAGATTCAGCAGACAGTGTTTAGTTTCACAGAAATTATATATAGATATTATAATTTAAAGAAGTTACATAAGTTCTCCAAATAGTTCCAAGAATTGCTGGAATGAAATCTATTTTGAGAATTTTTATTTTATTTTATTTATTTTATTTTTTTAAACCCAAACCACAACCATTCCAGCACAAGAGTGTTTCTTCTGGGACTAACTTTCCTTAGTATATTCCCCAAGGCAAAAGTAATGGAACACATCTGAATTAGAGAGTTCTTAATTTCTCAGTTTTAGCTGCATACAAAAGAGGATTAAAATCACAGAAAGTAACCTTTAACCTGATGTGCTTGAATACTTGCTTTTACTCTCAACTCTACAAAGATTTAAGAGCAAAAACCAGTACAATAATTCTAGCTTCTGGGCTCTTAGTAATGGCCCAAAATGGTGTGGCCTTGCCTAGTAAAGAACGGGAAGAAAACATGCAGGAGAGGGAAAATATATGGACACTTATCCAGACTTTTGATTTGCACTGAATTTTATTCAAAAGAACAATCATTACTATTTTGCATAAATTGCATATTTATGATTCCACATTTATGTAAGTCTGCAAGCAGTTAATATTTTAATAAACTCGTAATATTTTTAAATACTGGAAATGGATAAATATGTTTTGTTTACGTCCCTCAGTTAGCTATACCGATCTTTTAGTCATACGCCAGGACTATAACTGCAAAGGATCATTACTTTTTATAAATTACTAGATTACATTGTTGTAAAAATTTCAGAGGAATTAGGGAGGAAGAAATACTTTCTTAAATATTATTTCCATTTAAAAAGCAATTATTTTAAGTTTACCTAGCAATGACAGAAATCGGAATAGAATATATTAATCCATTTAGCATAAAAGTGAGTTGTCCCAAAATGTAACAACCCTGGTTCAATATAGTATATAGTATAGCTTTTTGTATCAGTTTTTCATTCCTGTCTTTCAAAAATCTCTGTAAGACTTCATAAGAAATACTGCTATGCATTCCATAGTAACTGTCAATTTTTAAAAATAACTCAAAATTCAATCACGATCTCCCATGTTCACAATAATTATAATTGCAATCAGCTTACTGAAGTGCCCATGTTAGAACAACAAATACATTCTGAGATCAGAAGTCATGTCTAACAGCAGCAGTCTGTACTATGTAGCACTTATTTACACACACACACACCCACATGACGGCTTCCCTTTTAAATAAAGTCTTTAATTAAATGGAGCATTTCTCCTAGTTAATTACTTAATTTCACATGATTTCATGTGCTCATAAGAAAATGGGGCATATATGCTAACTATGACAACAGAAACTGCAAAATATCACCTCATCAATGGTGTAAAACCAAGAAAAAGAGCACAAAGTCCTATAGATGTAATTTTGTTTGGTACTACACAAAAAACAATCTAATTTTAAGACTCTTAAAAACCCTGCAGTTTTCAACTATACACAGTGCAACTTATATAGACAGTGTAAAGGCAAAAAATTTTAGAGAAGTTAATAAATTAATCCCAACACCTCTAATACAACATGGTAAGCAAACCCAACATTTGAAAACAGTTAACATTTGTTAGAATTAGATAGACAAAAACTATGCTTTGATTTGCATAGTTCAGTTCTACATTATGCTGGTGGTGCTTAACACCCCACACGCCCCCCCCACTACATGATACAAGGCTGTCTCTAGAGCTTTCCAGATCCATTTTGGCACATTTTTTGAATGCATATGTTCACGACTGGATTTTTTAAAATTTATTTTTATTTTCTAACACAAACAAAAGCAATAATCTTTTAGTGAAGTTCAGCCCCATACTTTATCCTCATCATTTAGATGTCTAAACATTCTCTCCAGTCCTGTCTACATAATGTTTTAGGGAAACCAACAAAGTAAACCCCATCAGCCACTGTAATTGTATGCAAAACCTGTAACAACTCATCCCAACAAGAAGAAATAGGTCTGGAGAGATATCAGAAATTGAAATTACAGATTTAACATGTATACACACCCATAAAAGAGGGAACAAGAGAGATCATTTTGCAGTATTATCTATAGCGGACATTATGAAGCTTCCAGTGGAACACATAATGCTATTGTAAAGGTAATAAAAAGAATCTCCAATTCTACTAGTAAAATCAGATATAATTGATTTATGTAAATCATTTTAAGACAGTGCACATTAGCTTCTATGCAAATATTATTACACATATTTATGTCTGACTGTACAGCTACATACAAAATAAATGTAAGAAATAATATTCAACATGACAATATTAGTCACTAGATATTAACTACTTACTATTAAGAGCCATAATATTGTCTGTTCCTGGATGATGGAAATTTATTCCCATACGACCTGCAATGTAAATAAAAGCTATTTTTAATGTTTGTATTTCAAAACTGAATTAAATTTATTAATATGAAAAGTTGCTAAAGGGGATGAACATTCCGGGTAGCCAAATCTTCCATCTACCAAAGACAACTTCCCAAGAATACACGTTTAAGACATTTAACACTGTAGTACCTTTAGTGTTATGTACTTAAAATATTGAAAATCACAAAATAAACAATGAAATAATTACTTTTTTAATACATCCCTTTGCTTTGTACTAGGAAAGTATTATGTTTACCCTTTCAAAATAAGGCCTCAAAGTTCAACCTTGCTGCAGTGATGCCATTTATAGTAGGCTTCAAATAACGAGTATAGCATTACAAAAACTCCGCCTAATTGGTAAAAATAAATCCCTATTTTCCATACTACCTGTGACACAAGAAGCTCTTGAGTTAACAGATCGTTGGAGACAGAGTGTTTACCCTGTTTTTGTATTCTTCCTTAAGAACCTGCGATCGCTTACTATTTGAGATAAGATACTGGGTTGGAGGGAGTGTTGTTCTCATGGAGTACATTCAAATGTACTTTGAAAAATATTTATTCTTGACCCATAATATGGGATCATCATACACATAAGGTTAACCATTAAATTCAAATTAATTTTGCTGGTGCCAGTTTCCAAGAAGCTAGAGGGATGCAAAATAGTACCAATTTTCTCAGGTGAGATTTAACAATCGCAAGGTTGGCTTAAGAAGATCTCTGATGACTTCAGGAACTGGAAGTGGGAACAAATTCACACATGGTTACTTTGTTTCAAAGGCAAGGTAGTCCACCAAAATCATCAAAGCAAGAAATGAGCCAACTCTACTACTGTTCAGATGAGGTTTAGATACTACTTAACTGAGTTGAGGTATTAAAAACTTACCCTGAAGAAACTTTGTAACAAAACAAGTTGTATTAGTCCTTGATTGGAAAAAGATATAAAAGGATCATTAGAGCCACACAAAAAATTATTTCAATTAAGTAATGTAAGTAACTTAAGTCACTTAGAAGTGTTGCAATCCATTTCACAGGCTCTCTGTATCTCTAGACTTGTGGCTTGGGAGCTACGAAAGCGGGCAGTTTACACTTCTTCCCTATATTGGCAGTCAAACACAGGAGCTCAAGACCCACTCACTATACTGAAGAACCAATATAACCTTAGTGTAAATTCTCTTCCATACTTCCGCAAGACCAAGTTTTAACAAGTAAACTTTGACAAAGCAGAACTAAAGCAAATCTTCTCCAACATTTTAGTTCCCATTAGTAAGTTAAAGCCTTCTATTTCCAGACACAGAGACTGCTGTGCTGTAATTAATATTCTTTTTGAACAGATGCAACATGAAGTTTCAGTAAACTTCTGAAACTGTCACAAGCAGTTTAAGAGCAAATATGTATTTTCTTCGCATTATAATTTTCTCATTCTTCTAGAAAAAAGTGCCGCCACAATAAGACTGTGAAGCAAAGAGCACCTCCAGAAAGAAGTGGGGGCAGAAGGAAGGTAAATAAAATTTCTATTTTTACTTCCCAACTCCTTGAGCAAAGCTTCTTAAAGAGATCTGCATTTGAACTACTTCAGATTTCCTAATTACAGACATAATTCTCCTATACATATTTTCGCATTAATCTGGCACTGCAGAAACTGTAAAACTGCTATTATTTCAGTTAGTATCAACTTGTGCTAGAAATATTTCAGAAATCTTCTTAGACTGATATTAATTTCCTTTTCCTTAAGAGCATATTAATGAGCATGAGGTTACAGGTATTACTTGTAAAGAGAAAAGGTGTATATAATAATCCATACTTGTAAACTAATACTTGTAATAGAAAAAAGGGAACTACTATGAAAAAAATAGAATAAAATTTGAATGCATAATGGTTGCATGGGCCCTTCTCTCTTCCTTTGCCGAAGCTGAAATTCTGCTGTTTGACCAGCTTCAGAAATAGAATCGTATCTGTGACATCTGGGTTTGGTTTTTTCCCTCCCTCCAGGCTGTCACTGGACCAGGTGCTGCTTGTGTGACATTTTGTCACCTGCCCTTGGCCTGCTATTTTTAAACAGTTCTTGTCAGCTATCTTTTAAGAGGAGCAGAAAATACAGAGCAGCACAAGCAGAAGGACATGTTCTCACACTGAGCTAAGCAACAGTGTGGGATAATGCTGTGCATCTTCAGAAGTCCCCTAGTGCAATTCTGGAGAAACAAATTAATGGAATACTTTCAAAACACACCTGTATTAAAAGCATTCAAAACAGACTGGTAATGCATCAGTCATAAGACAATTGGTTACCAGTAATTATATAGCCTTTCATATTAGCTACAACATTTAAATATCTTGCTGTTTGAATCAAATTATTCAACTGAAAGAAGAGGCCATATGCAGATTACAAAACTGCATAATTATCTAAGGAACAAGAAGAGACCACAAAAAGGAAACTATAAATTTATTCATTTTAAGGTGCAATGCAAAACTGAAATGTAATTAAGCATATGTACTTTCAAGGATATATTTGAGTTAAACACAGAAATTACTATCAGAAAACAACTTGAAAAGTACATGTATACTACCTGGACCTCTACAAAGTCTATATAAGCACATATTTCTAATTATAGTTTTTAAATGAAATCTCTGGATAAAATTTCTACTTTGCAAGAATCTTAAGCACAATAAGCAGAAACAGAGAAGTTAGAGCACATTAGTTACAAGCTCCAGCAGTTCACTGAAGTCATAAATAGGAACCCTTCCAGTAACAACATCCCCAGTACTTGTATTCAGTGTACATCTGCCATTTTCAGTTTTCCTGTCTTGGTTTCATAATTATCTACTGAGTACATTTTCAATTATGTGCTTTTATAACACATTACTGCAGTTAGGCTGCAAGAATAATCACTCTTTCACATAAGTCTTTTCAATTCCTAATATAAAAAAAAAAATTAATCCAGTCGTATACTTCTTGCTCTTTAAACATTTCAGAGTACACATGAGGGTTTAATGATTCCTGTATAGTCCAGGCTGCTCTTTTGCATATCTCATGTCATTAAATACCTTAAATTCTCTCTCCTAACAGCATTTGGAGACACTTTTCTGGCTGGACTGCCTAAGTGCTCTGCTGCATGCCCAATATCATACTTGTCATGGCAGCAAGCCCAATTCCTTCTTAGAGTACATCTCAAGTATGTGCATCTTCTGTGTTATATTGAAAATAAGATGATGTTAAATGGAATTTAACTTCACCTCATTCTTTGTAGAAAAGAGTCATGACTTTGAAACATTTCTGAAATCTTTCCAATAACTTAAGGAAGTATGCCCTTCCCGAATATGAATCTCTTTATTAAATCTTTCACAAAGAGATAATCTGATTTTTTTAATTGTCTAGATAATTTCAAGTTGTCTGAATAGCTTTGAGAAAGAATGCTGTTCCAGAAATAACAAACCTAGACATCAGGCACAGTTTTACCACTATTGCAGTTTTTTGACAGTGTCTAGTGCCAGGCTTGCCTATAGTGGTCCCCTTAATCTCAACTTTAAAATCCACTATTTTTAGCAGATATTCAGGCTTACGAGCACAACCTGTTCACAAGTAAGTGTAAAACCAATCTTTGATTTCATCTTTGTATGTGTTGGTATTACCATTATTTTCCCATGTCTGAAACAAACACCAGTGACTGACCAGTTCCAGATCTATAACTACTGTTTTTCCTCTAAGACACTTCTGAATTCATTTTCTCTGTTTATCCCTCTTCTCTTCTTAAGTGCTCTATGGTTTTTTGAACTTGTGAAATCCTAATCAGCTCCTGGACATGAACTCAGTGAAGGATTTTTAAGATTATCGTTACTTATTCTCATAATTTTCATGTTACAATCAATGTTCCAAGAAACAGTGTTCGTTGGTAATATATCAAGTAAAACTTCTTGCACTGTTATACTTCATGGCTTTCACCAAGATTGACCACTTATACCAATTCAGCAGTTGGTATTTGGCATAAGATTTGCTAGAAAATAGCAAAGCTGGCCTGCTTTTGACCTGTCCTGAACTTACTGGGAATGAGAACTTCCTCTCACATAGTTCTTAAGATCATTGTTGATATCAATTACAAGTTATGACTAGAGACTTCAGTGGCAAGGTCAAATGAAACTGGCAACAGGACTAGGTCTGCTATACTTCCTTAGTAATAACACCTCCTTTATCGTTCTTATCTCCTCTATCAAATTATTTCAAAGTTGGTACCAACAAAAAGCATTACAAAACAGCAATAGTTATCTGGATAGTATAGTGGGGTAGAGCAAAGTTTAGACACAGAAAAGTGCAAAAAACAAAGCAATACCAGTATTCCTTCAAACATCTGAAACAAGATTATTTTGATCCATATGTATTTGGGGGTCTAGTTTACAGCACAACCTAACACACATGCACCCCCCTACCCCAGCTCCACCACGAGTTCTTTGCTCCATGATTCACAAATGGCCAAAATGCATGAAGCATGTGTGTGCATTTAGAAGAATTTTAATCATTTTTCCTGAATAGACCTCTGACCATTCTCTTTCCTCTTCCCCCAAAACTACAGACACCTGAAACTGATGCTAAACTAACTTACATGTCCAAAACAATTTCAAAAGCAAGGACTGTGTAAGCCAGGGTCTGCATAAAGACTTGGAAAATAAAAGGTAACTCCCTGAAGAAGTTCGGAATTTTTTTTTCTTTTTCCCCTCCCCCCTTCCTTTTTTTTAAGTCTACCTGCTATTTGTTCACACCCATAATTTAAACACTTACTTGGGACTTACATATCTTTTACACATTAACATACTTAGCAGAACAAAAATACTATTGTGTGCCAGAAGGGAAATATGAAGAACTATTGCTGTGTTTACACATATATATTTTTACTGCACAAATACATATTGCTGCAATGTGAACAGAAGGGTATAATTATCGGCTATGAATATCAGTAATAAAACTCGTCTTCCTATAACTGACTAAACAAATA